CACCACGAGCACATTTTCAAACAAAAAGGAAGTGATCTAGCAAGCAACTAAGAGGCCGTAGATAACTACAGATGAAAAGGGTGCTAACACCTTTCCTTTTCATAACCTACCCCCCAAACTCAAGAAAATAATCTCGAAAGGTCTTTCCTGTTCTTTTCAACCTTTCCTTATTGGATAAAAGAAAAGTCGGTGGTAACTCTTGCTATCCGCAACAATTACGATCAAATGCAAAACACCAAGTCAGTTCTCCCACCGCGTTACACCCTCTCTCTCTTTCCTTTTATTTTTGGTTGATGAAGATCTTCAATATCATTGGAACTTTTGTTAAGTTCTTGATGAAGATGAGACCATTTTCTTTTTTTTTTGTGGCATTGCTTTTAGAGAATGACCTACATATCATTTCTCTAGCATGTATTAACATAAAGATTGCTATTGACTGACCTCAAAGTAGGTATGACTTCTACATAAGTTCACTTATAATTGCTTAACATAGCACTAAATTTGTCCCGATTCAAAAAATGATCATTCGTGACCTAAACTTTATGTTTGTATGCCCAAGTATGGTTGATTATTTATTTTGGATCCATACCTATGAAGCTTTTTGTTAGGAGGCTTTGATTCTATCAATCCTCTAATGAGTTTTCATTATTCTTTGGTTCAAGATCATTATTCAATCATCGTTGATCATATTTGTGACCATTAACTTCTAAATTCTAACTTTTAACTTCTAACTCATTAACAATTAACTTTACTTTATGCATTTATCTTATATCTTTACTTTATGTAATTTACCTTTAACATTTACATTTCATGCTATTTTCCTTTTGCTCACTTGAACATTTATTTTTATGTCATTTTATCTTTACTCACTCGAGCTTTCTTTTTCTTCTTAACACACTTAATAATCAACTTGAATCATAAAAAACTTAAGCTCTTCTCAGACTATCAGTTACTATCCTTAGCATATTGGAGTTGTGGATCTATTGAACTTAGGATTATAAACCTTGATACTTGGAGACCATGTTACCCTATTGTTATGTTGTTTGAAGTCCTTGGGGTTTACTCCAAGGCACTGGGTTGATTTTCTTTGTGTGTAGGTTATTCTGATGTTTTATCCATGATTGATAATTCCTCTGTATATAGCCATTACTTTGCCCATTTTTTTGAAGACTTTATTTGATTATTATTTTATCCGAGGCACAAGTTTATCTGAGGCTTTCTTCATCTGAAGCTTGGTTTTATCTTGGTATTATATTTGCTTGATTTTTAATCCAAAGGATGAGAATTCTACATTGAATTTATAATATCCAGTGTTGGCTTCTTGTTGGTTAGATCTTTCCTTACATTAACTTTTACTTTGTGCTTTAGGATAGTCTCTTCTTCTCCTTCCATTCTTCTTTAATTTTCAAATTCTTCTTCCTTTTTTTAAAGGATTCTTGTTTTTCTAACTTGAACCGCTTTCATAAAAAAACTTAGACTTAGGTCCATGCATTTTCAAAATTCTTTTCTTAATAAAGTCATCAATCAATCTTAATCAAGATATGACTTCTTTCTTTAATACTTAAAAATTACAAAACAAATTCAAACCTTTTGCCGCTTTGGCTTTTCTCTTTAAAACCTTTTTTTTCTTCTTAAAATTAACCAACACACAAAACTTTTCAAAGTTTATGAGAAGAACTACGAGTGCCATGATCCCTTATTGCACGAAAGAGGTACGTAGGTACAAAGGTTCTCAACCGCAACGTGCGCAATAGTAAAAAACATTTTCTTTTGTTTCTTTAATAACTCTTTCAATCATTCCCTCTAGCAAATAAAAATTTAGATAACACACTCTCTGATTAAAACAAACAAAGTGGATCCTGCAGAGAACCGTAGATGCTAAGGGTGCTAATACATTCCCTTTGCATAACCGACCCCCGTACCTTGATCTATGATCTTTTATTTCACTTTGGATTTTATTCACTCTTTTCTCATTTCCCTTTGGAAACAATAAAGTGCGGTGACGACTTTCACTGATATGAGTTAAGTCAACTAATGACTTAGTCTCAAATTTTTACCGCTACATTTTCGCATACACAGTGCGACAGACATATCTCTCAATAACTTGAATATTGGATACTTCTTCTTGCATGTCCCCCATCACTCCTATCATTTTCACATCCACTTTCTAACTCCTCATTTTCACTTGCACTACCCATCTCCTCTCCATTATCATCTTTCCATTTCTGTTTCTTCTTTTTGCTAGTTCCCTCTTGTATTCCCTCATATTCAATTAGACTGTCCAATGGTTCTATATCATAATCTTCACTCAGATTATAATAATAAAAAATAGTTTCCAAGGCACTATCATAATTATAACTCTCATCCTCACTATCATCAGAGCTTGTATCAACATTCAACAGGGTCGGCCCAATCAAACTGGAGGTCCCGTTCTAATTTAAAAAATAGGCCCAAATTTAGAGAAAAAAATACAATTATAATAATTAAAAATGACATATCAAAAATATAATTATATATTAATAAAAATTATTTAATTATAATTATTTTAACTTTGATCAATCTCATTTTTTTAATGTATTGAATTTTTATCATAGTAATTTTTTGATTTATTGAATTTTTTATAATTTTTTTTATGTTTATAAATATTCATGTAAAAAAATAGACATTTTAAGATTTGGGAGCCCTCTTAAATTTGGGGCCTGTGCCGTAGAACTTGCTGCCCCTGCACAGGACCAAGTCTGACATTCAACAATACATTATTAGTATCTTTTCCATTATGCACTCCACTTTCATCATTAAGATCCTTAACACCAACATTCAGGCCCTCACCATTATCACTAAGACCCCTAACATTGTTATTCAGACCCATAACACTTTCATTAAAACCATGGCCACCAACATTCAAACCCTCACCTTCATCATTAAAACCCTCAACACCATTATTCAATCCCTCACCAACTTGTTCATCATCCCTAATGATTTTTTCATAAAGAACAAATGTGATACACTTCTTCATAATCTCTCACTAATGTTTCTAACAGAAAGGTTAAATATGGTATAATTTTTAAAGATAAGAGATCAAATTGATCATTTTTAAAGGACCAAAATGGACCCAGGTATTAAAGTACTAGACTAAAAATAGTATTAAATTAAAAATATGATATGATATGATAATTTATTATTTTCTAAAATGATTTTTTACTCGGATCGGTTTTTTCTAATACTCTTCAAAATATTATTAAATCCTACTAAAAAAATTAAAAAAAAAAAGCACTTAGATATAGAAAGAAAAAAAAAAGATTTATATGTAAAAGGTACTAGATAAAAAAAAGCCCAACCCACACCCACATCTACATCCATTTAGAAGAGCCCCCATCATATCAAAACCCTAAAAACCACAAAACTCAGATATAGCCGCCGTATCATCGGAATCAAGCCGGAGTTGCATCCTACTCATCTTCCCGGAAAACGCCGCCACACCCTCACCGCTGGCCACACAAACTCTTCCAGGTTTTCTTTTTTCATTCATTTTATTTCTCCGATGTTCTTTCCCCTTTCAATTATCGCGTGCAAAATTCGATTCCACCGCGATTCCACATAATCGCGTCGCAGCATAGTAGACTGCAACGATTCGCAATATAGGGAATAGTTTGATATAAATCAACGGTTAATTGAGTTGGGTTGTGTTGTTTATTTGGGAATTAGGGTAATTGATTGAAAAACTATGCATGAAAGTGTTTACTGGTATGTTTTATTTGAAAAAATTTCAACTTTATGCACTGTTTTTGTTTTGTGATTGACGTATATATTTCTGCCAAGATAGGGTAATTGATTATGTGGGTTTATCTGAATTAATGAGCTTGTGTTTGGGGTGTTAGGTTCTGGGTAAATTGATTTTAATTAAAAGTGAATTGAATGCAAAGTGTTTGAATTGAGTGAAAAAAATATAATGTTTTGAGCCCAAAGCTATACATTTTTACTTCAAATTAGAATAAATTCTAGTGATAAAATCAATTCCAATTGGTATCGAAAAAAGATGAATGATCTTGCGTTTGGCATGTTTGGTTCTGCCTTGGTAAATTGATTTTATTTAAAGGAAATTGAATGTGAGCAATTAAACTGAATTGATTATGTGGGTTTATCTGAATGAATAAGCTTGTGTTTGGTTCTGTTCTGCCTTTTTAAATTTATTTTAATTAAAAGTGAATTGAATGTGAAGTGAGTTTGGTTTGAGTGTGAGCTTTTAAATTGAGCAAGAATGGTGTTTTGAGTTAAAAGCTACACATTTTTACTTCAAATTAGAATATATTTTTTGAGATAAAATCAATTCCAATCTATATCGCCAAAACATAAAATGTGGAGTTTTTCTGAATGAATGATCTTGTGTTTGGCATGTTTGGTTCTGCGTTGGTAAATTAATTTTAACTAAAAGTGAATTGAATATGAAGTGATTTAGGTTTGAATGTGAGCAATTAAACTGAGTGTAAGAATAATGTTGAGTCGATAGCTACACATTTTTACTTCAAATTAGAATAGATTCTAGAGATAAAATCAATTCCCAATCGATGTTGCCAAAGAAGATAACATCAATTTCATGTGTATGTGATCGCTTGTGGCTCTCCCAAATGTGAAAACAAACACACAATGATATTTGTTAGAATATTATAAAATGTATATTATAAAATCTTTATATTAGTTTAGAGTGGCTCTACCGATGTTGAAGACAACAATGATATTTGTTAGTCTTTCAAAACAAAAAGCAAACACGCAATGATATTTGTTAGAATATTAAATGACATATCTTTATATTAGTTAGTTTAGAGTATCTCTTAGTATTAGTTATTATTATAATGATTTGTTCTTGATTTGGGATTTGGGCTATCTATTGAGTTTATGTAGTAATTCTATTATCAATACTAATTTTCTTTCATCTTTCACCTAAAATCTCACAACTTCAACAATATTCATAAAATTTTCATTTTCTTTTCCAGTTTTCGACGATGGGAAAGAAAAAGACAGACGACGCAGGTCCACCTACAAAGGCTAAAGCAAGTGGTAAAGATGTTTCTAAGAAGGAAAAACTTTCTGTATCTGCCTTGTTGGCAAGTATGAAAGAAAAAGCTGATAATCCTATAAAAGCTTCTTCCTCGAGTAAGCCGAAGCCAAAACTTGCTCCAAAAGCTTCTACATACACTGATGGTATTGATCTTCCTCCCTCCTCTGATGATGAATCCGAAGAGGAGTTAGAGCAAAAGCATAGACCTGATGTGAAGCCACTTGAGGTGTCTATTGCTGAAAAGGAGTTGAAAAAGCGTGAAAAGAAAGATATTTTAGCTGCCCATCAGGCTGAACAGGCAAGGAAAGAAGCTCTTAGGGATGATCATGATGCTTTCACTGTTGTCATTGGAAGTCGGGCTTCGGTGCTTGATGGAGATGATGGTGCTGATGCTAATGTCAAAGATATTACGATAGAAAATTTTTCAGTGTCTGCTCGGGGTAAAGAACTTCTGAAGAATGCATCGGTGAAGATATCTCATGGAAAGCGGTATGGTTTAGTTGGGCCGAATGGAATGGGCAAATCAACACTTTTGAAGCTTCTTGCTTGGAGGAAGATACCCGTACCTAAGAATATTGATGTCCTTCTGGTTGAGCAGGAGGTAGTTGGTGATGATAAAACAGCGCTTGAAGCCGTAGTTTCAGCTAATGCTGAACTTGTTAAAGTTCGACAAGAAGTTGCTGATCTACAGAATGCGGCTGCTGGTGAAGAAGGTGTGGATAATGATGATACTAATGAGGACGGGGATGCGGCAGATAAGCTAGCAGAGCTGTATGATCAATTACAACTGATGGGGTCTGATGCTGCTGAATCCCAAGCGTCAAAGATTTTAGCCGGTCTGGGTTTTACTAAGGATATGCAGGGCCGTCCTACAAAATCTTTTAGTGGTGGCTGGAGGATGAGAATTTCTTTAGCTCGAGCACTTTTCGTACAACCCACTTTATTATTGCTCGATGAACCCACTAATCATCTTGACCTTAGGGCTGTTCTCTGGTTGGAAGAGTACTTGTGTCGTTGGAAGAAAACTTTGGTGGTTGTATCACACGACAGAGATTTCCTCAATACTGTATGCTCTGAAATCATTCACCTGCATGATTTAAAACTTCATTTCTATCGTGGAAATTTTGATGCTTTTGAAAGTGGGTATGAGCAGCGTCGTAGAGAGGTGAATAAGAAGTTTGAGATTTATGACAAGCAATTGAAAGCAGCTAGAAGGACCGGAAACAAGGCTCAACAAGATAAGGTCAAGGATCGAGCTAAGTTTGCAGCTGCCAAGCAAGCATCAAAAAGCAAAAGTAAGGGAAAGGTTGATGATGAGGATGAGGCCCAAGTAGAGGCACCACACAAGTGGAGGGACTACAGTGTGGAGTTTCACTTTCCTGAACCTACTGAGCTCACACCCCCTCTTCTGCAGCTTATTGAAGTGAGCTTCAGCTACCCAAACCGAAAGGATTTCAGACTCTCAAATGTTGATGTTGGCATTGATATGGGGACCCGTGTTGCCATTGTTGGGCCTAATGGAGCTGGAAAATCTACACTGCTAAATCTTCTAGCCGGTGATTTGGATCCAAGTGAAGGTGAGGGTGAAGTTCGAAGGAGTCAGAAGTTAAGGATTGGAAGATATTCCCAACATTTTGTGGACCTACTGACGATGGACGAAACACCTGTTCAGTACCTTCTTCGTCTCCACCCAGACCAGGAGGGACTTAGTAAGCAGGAGGCTGTCCGGGCAAAACTTGGTAAATTTGGGCTACCTAGTCATAACCATCTTACACCCATTGTCAAACTATCCGGAGGGCAGAAATCTCGAGTTGTTTTCACGTCGATATCTATGTCAAAACCTCACATTTTATTGTTAGATGAACCCACAAATCATCTGGATATGCAAAGTATTGATGCATTGGCCGATGCCCTTGATGAATTCACAGGTGGAGTTGTTCTTGTTAGTCACGATTCTAGATTGATATCACGTGTCTGTGATGATGAAGAAAAGAGTCAAATATGGGTTGTGGAGGATGGCACTGTCAGAAAATTCCCTGGAACATTTGACGAGTACAAAGAAGATTTGCTGAAGGAGATTAAAGCTGAAGTTGATGATTGAGCTTCCTCTTGTGAGTAACAGTTTTATGGCAACAATTTTCAAATGCATTTCGTTATTATATATACACTTGTCTCTCCTGTATTTTTCTGATAAAGATGATTGTTCCACCTGCAGATCCCAGATTTTGCATCTCTTCTCACTGCTCTTCATCTTCAACTGTACAACTGTGCAACTGAGTGTAATTATATGTTCCGGGAAATGCTGCGAATGCTTTTTGTGAGACTTCAGTTTCAAATTTACCAGTAATATATAGGAAATTGTTGTTCAACTTTTATGACTAAATAAACATCTGTATCATTTTACTAAAGCTGTTGTTTCCATCCGTTCAACAAATCTGTCTCAGTGATGTCTTTTGATTCAAAAGTATAAAGTACAATATACTTCTACTCAAAATACTTTGTAATTTGTTTGACACATTGGATCTCTTGATAAGTTCTTTGAAGCTGTTTGGAAATTTGATTGTGGCTACTATTGATATGTAGTTGTCGAAGGTGAACATAAGGTTATTAGTTATATAACATTTCATGTCATGACAGATAAATTTGTTTCTTATCCATATTGAAAGTTGAGTTTTTAACTGGATGCATTGAATTGAACTTGTGTTCTCATCCTAATAGTTTCCTTCAGATTTTGCTTATAATTGTTTAAAAGAAGATTTCCTAGAAAAAAGGCTGGAGGGTGGAAATGTAAAAACTGAAGTGGGAGAAATGAGTTATTGTGTTTCATCGATTGGCTGAGTTATAAAAAAAATGGTGACTCACCATGATTCTATCAATTTCATATCCCAATTCTTTCTATTTTTACCACATCAATCGTAATTTACTGCATTTTCCTCAGTTATAACATGCAGAACATTGTATTCATATTGAGCATAACATGCAGAACATTGTATTCATATTGAGCATAACACGCAGAACATTGTATTCATATTGAGCAGAAGAGAATAACAACTGGCGAACCTGAATGGTCATTTGTGAAGATGAGACAAGTCGTGAAGATAAGACAAGTCTGTATATTTAGGTAATGTTACACCGCTCAATGAGATTATAACGATCCTGACATGTTATTGAGACTCAGACTGATTAAGATTATCGCTCAATGAGATTTTAACGATCCCGACATGTTATTGAGATTATCGTCGTTGAATTATATATAATGAAAAAGAAGAAAAGTTTGTAAAACTAAATGGACCCATGAGCTGACAATGAAGGGAATCTCTCTCTTTCTTGATACCAACCTTGCATACACATGAGACAAAACTGACGGCCATGATGAGGTCCATAGTGGACCAACCTTATTCAACATTGTAAGAGTACCTCACTCATTTTTCACTGTATTTTAGACAAGAATGTAACATTGCACACAAAGACATTCTCACTTTTTACAGCCTTAACTATTCCCTCACACACTTTTTCATCAACACTGAAAACAACCAAACAGTACAGTATCTCATTATTCTCAACATGGAACATCATGGGAAAAAAACAGTGCTAATCAGAAGAGTTTCACCCCTCATTCGGCTTTCACTAGGTCACAAGTAGACCAAAATAGGCCTCATATTTGGAGTTGTCATAGGAGGGAAACTTCAACTACATTTCTACTCTTTGAATTTTAAAATGAAAATGTAACCAAACTATGCTAATTACAACTATTCACACATGAAAAAAAATAATGCACCCCTAACATTAACATGCAACAATATTAAATTCTTTTTAAGAAAACGTTTTATCATCTATTGTTGTTCTCTCTTATTCAAATGATTAGTTTTTACAATTACGCAAATAAAATATCCAATTTAACCGGAATAAAATATGTATTACCAAAAGACATAACATTGATTTGAACATTAATCTTCTTTATTGGCTATCAACTATTTTTTTAACCAAACATACCCTAAACTTTGACGATGATTGTCACCATTTTTAATTAGACAATGTCTTTCATGTTTTTATTATTGAAAAATATATAAAATAATTTTTTTTCCCTAATAACTATTAGAAATCTGCACACACAATCGTGAATATCAAAGTTCGAACTTGATAATGATATCCAAGTTAACGATATCAATTTCTATTAGTTTAACTAGAATTTACGGTCAATATAAATTAAATTTTGATATACTAATATTCGTTTTTTCTTATTTTTTTAACCCCACAATATAATCATTATTACGATTTCAAAACATTTTCAATGATCAAACTAATATAAACCCTATGATTCCCTTCTCCACCCTAAAACCAACACATTCCTCACCCAACCATTGCTCAATTAAGATGTTTCCCAACCAAAATATCAAACATTATGATTTTCATGTCTTATCAAACAGAAATCAATAATTTGGTGAGTATGGTGTAACATCATTTAAAATAAGTGGTGCAAATTTAAGCTAATGTTTGTTTAATAGTTGCAAAACTACAAGAAATGTACACTCATCAATGTTTGTCCACAAATATTGTATAGTCAATTTAATTTTTTGGTGACTATATATAAATAATTTTTATTGGTGTCATAATCTTTTGTACCTCACCAATTAAGGTAACATAAATAAAAAGTAGTTGCAATGAATTAAGTTTCTATTATTTAAATCCTTACCAGCTTTAATTATTTAGATTATTATTAATCAATGTTATGCACCCAACAACATTAAAAGACGTAGCTCTTATGTAAAATCAATTAAAATACTCATCTAAATTCTATCGACTATAACCACTTAAATTAAATGCAATTCAATTATGGTGGATGGAATGAACAGATTATTATTCTATTAATATTTTAACCAATTTTTTAAATTAACTTTTTTTTAAAAATATTTTAATCAATTTTTTAATTTAATATTTTAAAAATTTTCACCGTTGTATTTTTAGGAATAAATTCGAAAAAAAAAACTTTTAATTAAATTGAAAGGAATCTCTATCATCTGATCTAAATACTAGCAGATAACTCCATTTTGATTTAAATAACAAAGAACAAATAAAATAAAAGTAAATATATATGTTATGATAATTTTAATATTGTGACAATCTCCAACATAAAAACATGAAGAGTCATTGTCCAACATGAAGACTGCAGATATTCACTTTGATATACATGTCTAATAATCTTTTTGTAAGGTTTGAAAATTGTCTTAAAATGAAAATTTGTCTGCTGGATGGATAGTGATATCAACGACTTTATGTTACGAATTAAAGCATCTTAATTTTATGGAACTTATGAAACTTCATTGTCTTTCTTCATTGAGTAAGAACATGAAAATAACATGAAAACATAAGTTTAGTGCATCTTTAAATTCTTTTTCTAGGAGAATAATTTATTTAAATTTAAAATTGGAATTTCGAATTTTTACTTTTAAATATAATTTTTGATACATTTTTTTTTTATAAATAGAAAAAATAGAATAATTATTAGAAACTCACACACATTCTATTCTGACACTTATAATTCAAACTTTGATGTTGATATTTTATTTAATAATATCGACTTTTATTAGTTGAACTAGAATTTACAAATAACTTACTATTTAATTTTAATAATGACACATCAATTTGAAGATACTATTTTAAGAAAATGATCCTTCTAATGTGAAAGTTTTGACGTATTCACGTAATCAGAAGTAGTTTAATCTTAATTACATGATTTAAAAAAATATATTTTATTTTATAAATTATAAAATACTAATTTAAATAAAATTATTTGATTTTGATCAAATGAATCAATCAAATGACTTAGAACTCTTGCGTGATTCGCTAGTGCGATCAAACGCGGATAAATTTTTCACTATTACTATTATTTCGACCTGTATTATTATATTTGTTAAGTTTGTATGTAAAATTTTAAATGAACTTTAACTAAAAATAAGTATTTAATCTAGAATTAAAATATGATGAACTAATAATTGGTGTCTCATGGTATAATGAAGATTAAAACTAACCTATAACTCTATGACATTAGGGGTCAAACAATAAGAGAAATCTACATAGGTAGTCCAATGAATTTAATGCAAATTCCAAAAAGAAAAACTAGATTCTTTCAATATATAAACACATTTTGATTCAAAACCATCTCATTTCACTTTCAAACATTCAAATTTAAGAAAAACCTCTTTTACTATTTACACCTCCAACACAACTTTCAAACCTCTGCAAGATTCTTACTCATTTTCATGGCCTACAATGCTGAGCCATATCCCTATACTTCAAGAAGAAGAGATGAATCAGATTTCAATCTAAGAGAATGGTCAGTGAAAGGTAGAATCAGTAGAGAGAATAACAATACCAATTCTAGAAGGTTTTCGGGTTCTTATATGAAAAGTTTTAGAGAAGATTCAAGGTCTCAAAGATCAAATATAACTATTTCTAGTACTGCTTCTTCACCTGGTTACCCTTTTAAAGGTACATACATATTTTTTCACTATATAGTTCATGAATTTCGTGTCATCGAGTCTAGCGCAAGTGGTTGGTGCACATCGAGTTCAATTCTTACTCATATTGTAAATTTCGATAATATTTTCGCAGATGAAATTGATCCTTCGACATATTCTTTCACCACGGCTCTTAAAGGTAACTAACCGCATTGTCAACTAGAATATAATTATGATTTTAAATTGCGGTTGCTATTATACTTGTAAACTTTAATACTAGAGATGTGATGTTGTTGCAGAGACTTCAAAATTCTTTATATTAGGGTTTCTGACCGCAATTTAAAACTATAACTAGAATAACGTGCTTATGATTATGTTTTCTTTAATCATTTTTTTTTGTCTAAATATTTTTGAATGGTGATTTGATATAGCATTGCAAGCAAGGGTAAGCTATAATAATTGGGAGTGTTTATCACCAGAAGGGTTTGCTTTAAATTCGAAATGGAATGAAGCAGAAAAGTATATATGCAATCCACTTTCAGGAGAGGTACCAATGGAATGTTTATCAGCTAAAACTCTTAGTGGAAGATCCTTTAGACACTCAACAAACAGAATCACAATGTCTGCTCCTCTTGTTTATTCTTCAAGACATGTTCAAATGAAACCATCTATTTACACACATGATGATGTTTCTCTTGAATTTCCAATTCCAGGTTCAATTTACTTCTGCTGATTCCTCCTTTCTTCTTATTTAAGTTTACGTATGAGACTCAGAGCCGTCTTAAGTTTTTTGAAGTCTTGAATAGGTTAGTCACGATTCAAGATTCAACAATGACAAAATAATTATAGGTCTTATTTAATTATGTTTTAACGGTTATAAATATTTATAAAATTTTTATTTAAGTACGATTTGACTGTGACATATGTTTGACTCTGTCTAATATTATATTTTGTACATCCTTCAAAGACAGACATGTTGAGACCTTATAGAAAAATATTTACCTTAGTTGTTTTTAAAGAGCTTATAACGAATATAAAGTTTGACTTTATCAAATTTTTTATTAAGTGATTATGAAAAAAGCACTTAATTAAGTTTGTTTGTATGTCTATGCAGAAAAGAAGAAAGAGGGAATGACAAGAGATGTGGGGACTCAAAGCACACCTCCTTATCTTAGTTCAAGTAGTCCTAGCCCTACTTCAACTCCATCTATCATAGAGAGGTCAAAAACTAGAGATGTAGATTCACCAAATTCAAATTCAAATTCAAATTCAAATTCAAATTCAAATGCTAAAACAAAATCTGATGAAGAAGAGGTATGAAACAAAATCTAGATTATCTTTAATTTAGTTTTAGTGAAGAGGAAACACTAGGACAATTATAGGACACAAGAAATTGCCAGTGTCTTTAAAAACAAAGTACTTGAATTATTATTCAAACTAAGTGAAGAAAATAAAGAGGAAGTAGTTACCACTAGTTCATGGTGTGTTTTCCAAGACAAAAGAATCAAATCTTAATTGTCATATAATTAGACTGTAACATTATAATGTGGGACAATCATAGATTCCACTCTTGTCCCTGTTTGTTTCATGTGAAAGTATCATTCTCCTTCTATAGTTTTTGGCCCCTCTATAATTTCTTCATAGCACTTGCATCTGTCTATGTTTTTAGGATGAAACTCTTAGGTAATTGCTAGGGTGAGGAAGTGTCACATGGTCTATTATGTATCAATATTTAAAAATCGTTAAAAAATTCAACAATGACCGTGACCGATGTTGCCATCTTTATACAGAAATTTAAGATCGTCATTGTCCTAACACTTGATTGAAATAGTGATCTAATCTATACAGAATTTTGAGATAATGATATTTTTTTTCTCTTAAATTATTATTGATCGTGTCACTGTTTCAGTTGTATCAACAAATAGTACAATTTAATTTTATTTACATGTTAGAATGAGATTTGTATCAACGAATAGTACAATTTAATTTTATTTACATGTTAGAATGAGATTTACATACTTTTTTAGTATGTACTCTCTTTGATCATTATTATAAGTAAAATTTCTCTTTTTAAATTTACTGAATAATAGATGTGTTTGATCTTTATAATAATGGCAGAGGAGTATTTATCTAGAGTTAAACTATATGTGACACTTCTTTTGTTCCAAAATTCAACTCAATCCAAATCTTTCTCCCTCTTCAATGATTCAAACACAATAGCAATTAAATAGTACTCTTCTTTTTCAACCTACCTCTTCCCTTTGTCTCATTTGAATCCCCTAAAGATTCTGAAATCATAGTACATCATTTTATCATCTAAAAATCATAGTACATCATTTTATCATCTAACTAAGGTACTATACAAAATGCCTATACTCACATTATCATATACTATAATATTGTGCACTATTTCTTTATTAGGATCATTTTTTTATACTATAATATTGTGCACTATTTCTTTATTAGGATCATTTTTTTTCTTCTATAAGATATTTCTTCTGATCTTATTTATAAATTTTTTTATTTTATTTTAAATTTATTAAATAATCAATATATTTAAATGATATATAGATTAGATATATTACAAATTTAATTTAATTTTTTCTTATAAATAGAACTAGAGATAATAAAAAGATTATGATATTCACCAATTTTTTTACCACAAAATATAATTGATAAGTGTTACCAATTATAGAAACTTTTTCTATGATTAATTGAGAAACACATCACACCAACTAAGCATGACATGATATTGATGTTAGAGTGGCAATGCATGTGCAGGTTGAGGTGAAAGATAATTATGAAACATGGGAGACAACAAGCGAAAAGAATGAGTGGAGAAAGAAAGAAGAGAAGCAACTTTGCAAGCAAATAGGGTGCTTTTCATGGATGATGATGAAAAAGAAAAGACATAGAGAAAGTAATAAAGATGATAAAGAAAGAACAACATCTTTTTCACTTATCACTTCAAAGGGTTGCTAAAGAAAAAAAAAGTGATGATTAAAAGGGTTGCATGTGTACGTTTGAATGAATGATGATGGTTTTTGAGATTCTTCAATTTCACTTTCATTTGAACTATTTTCTTTGAAATCCTTTTTTTTTCTTCCAAAAACAAAAATTTACTTGAGTTTGATTTCTCAAACTTATTAGAGGAAGGACAAATCTCAAAGCTTATAGAGGAATGCAGTGATTATTTATAGATTACCGACTAACGAAATTTCTATGTTGGTCGTGAGAGTTGAACATATACTTCTCTATTATATGAGTCAACTTCTTATAAACTGAATAGTCGATATTTTTGATATTATCTAATTTTTCTTTTATTTGAGTTTTTTTTGTTGGAAATTCACTAAAATTTATGATGAATTTCTATCAATCTTGATGTTTAAGATTGATATCAGCACACAATGACAATGAAAAATATGAAGAAAAAAAAAGAAGACAATTATTTTTCTGCAGAGTTTCTCTCTGCCCACAAACTGTGGAAAACTTTATTATTCACTTTACAACTGTAAAATTTGTGAATACAATTTGATTGACTTGATTACAAAAAAATAGGGATTATTTTCTATTTATAGATTTAGGTTAACTTGTTTCCTAAGCCAAAACCCAAAACTATAAAATCTCAAAATAACTATTTTGAAACTAAATCAAATCTATTTATTTTAGATCTAAATCAAATTTATCTAAATCTAAAATAAATTTGTGTGTAACAAACTTTTTCCACACTTCTAAATCAAATCAAATCTTTTCGATATTCTCTTGTCTCTGTCGAACAAACTGCTTCGACACAAAAATTACTTTCAACACACCACCTAATTCATCGTGTCTAAGTTATCTATATTCATCATCGCTCTTAGTCTTCGAAATACTTCGACATGCAAACCCTTTATCATGATGTCTGCAACCTGATTCTCAGTTCAACAGTGTTCCAAGTTCATCTTCCCATCTGTTACCTGCTCTCGAAGATAGTGGAACCTCATTTCGATGTGCTTGCTTCGACTGTGAGCTATCGAATTCTTCGCTAGGTTGATAACTATCATGCTATCGATCTTCATGGTAATTGCTCCATGATATTTCCCTGTGATTTCTTCGACCAAGTTCACCACCCATGTTGCTTGACATGCTCAAAGATAAGCAACTATGTATTCTGCTTTGCATGATGATAATGTTTCTACTGGTTCCTTTCTCGAACTCCAAGCAACTGATGCACCACCTAGCATAAACACATACTTTGCTGTGGATTTTTTATCTTTAACATTGCTACACCAACTCGAATATGTGTATTCCACTAACTTGCATTCTTTTCCCTTATCAACTGCAGGAAATAAAATGACATAGTCGAGAGTTTCTTTGAGATACCTTAATATCCTGTTCGCCGCTGCTAGATGTAACACCTCAATTCTACCCGACAATTATATAATACGACTCAATACTATGCAAATGCATGTGGTACCATTGGAGAAAAACTCCCATCTCAAAAATTGCCAATTAATAGAGGTATCAACAAGGCATAAGCCTTCATCTCAATATTCGCCAATACAAGCCATCTTAATGAGCATAAGCTCCATCTCAAAATGCAATGTATGCGACACAATCATGAATGTAATGACAACACCATAAATGACAACATCTCAATACAACATCATCGTTGACCAAAAGCCTACACCTTAAAAGCATCTCAACATCTTTTCATCAATATCGTTTATCGATATCATTTATCATCATAAATCATCAAGCATCATTTATACATCATAATTCATCAAAACAAACTCCCATTAACATCATCTCATCAACAACTCAGCCGTACAGTAATACGATAATAACTCATCAATTTCACAATGTTGGTCATAGGCCTATACAAGATATTGCCTATAATTAGTTAATCAACTAAGGCTTACTTCTAAATCATCAAACCTCTACATACTACTATTCTGTAATATTACATCATTATCATCATTAATCCTACTGTTACAAATCAGACAATAATCTATAAACGTCTCATCCTCATCCTTCTTCATAACAACCAACATAGCGATTACCGCGGGAACTAACTCTAATCCTAATTTGGATACTAGGATTATCCTTCCTATTCTTCATTTTAATCCTTAAGAATGAAGTTCATTGCGTTAGCCATTCAACGCTTCAAACGATACCTCAAACAAAATCCGAAAACTCAAGTTACAGCATCTTCAAACTGATTCTGCCAAAACCAGATAACATGGATCGATGCATAACGTCTTGGGTCGACGCGTACTGAGTTTAACACGTCACATGAGTCGATGCATCCTCTCTTGTATCGACTCATACCGAGTCTTCCACATAGCATGTATCGACACATGCTCCTACGTATCGACTCATCATGAGTCTAAAAGCACTCATGTATCGACGCAGGACCCATTCGTGTCGACTCATACTGAGTCTCTAAAATTTCTTGTATCGACACATAGCATTTGGGGTCGACACATACTGTTCTGCTAAGGATATTTTCTGCGATTTCTCTGCGTTTTCACTACGGGTTCTATACTTTAAGCCCTAAAAACATCTCCTAATCATAGAAAATCATCTCTTACGATTATCCTATAATTCTACATCAAATAAACAACATTGGGACATCATCATTCATCTTTCAATCATCAATTCTCATCATACAACAACATATAATTCAATCATGAACAAAATAACACTTTCACATCTAATCCCATAAACCAATTATCATGAACCCTATTATAGAGTCAGAACCTCACCCTTACCTTGGATTGAAGGTTGCTCTATAACTTTCTCCAATTGATTCTCGTTCCGCCTCTTTCCTCTTTTCCAACAGCTTTCACGTTCTTCCTCTCAAACCCTTATTCTTCTTACTGCTTCCTCTTTTCTATTCTTTCTAACAATAATAAAATAACCTATTATTCTCTTTACTCCTTATTGGGCTTAAAACTAATACACCCCCTTATTACTAGTATTCCTTTAAAACAAGCCCACATCAAATAATATCATTCTTCTAATATTATTTCTCCATTTAATAAAATAAATAAATCCAATTGAACACAACACAACTTCAAAAATATTCCAAAAATAATTTAATTAAATAATTAATTAAATTAAAGACGTTACAACTCTCCCCCACTTAGAATATTTCCGTCCTCGAAAATTTACCTTAATCAAACAACTCAGGGTAGGAGTCTCGCATCTTGCTCTCCAACTCTCAAGTCATGCTTTCTCCGGCAGCTCCTTGCCAAACCACTTTAACAAAAGCAATCTATTTGCCTCTCAGAGTCTTAGTTTCATGATCCGCGATCCGTACAGGCATCGTCTCCACTGTAAGATTATCCTGTATTTGCACATCATCCATATGAATCACATGAGATGGATCTGAAATATACTTCCGGAGTTACGACACATGAAACACATCATGTAAATTTGAAAGATTAGGTGGTAAAGCCACTCTATAAGCAATATTCCCCACTCTCTCTGAAATCTGATATGGTCCAATAAAACGAGAAGTGAGCTTCTTAGACTTCAATGCGCGTCCAACACTAGTCACAAGTGTAACTCTCAAAAACACATGGTCACCCGCTTGAAATTATAAATCTTTCCTTCGCTTGCCATGATAACTCTTTTGTCTACTTTGGGAAGCTTTCATCTTTTCTCGAATCAACTTCACCTTCTCGGTAGTTTCACGAACAAGTTCAGGTCCAAGTACCACACTCTCACCAGATTCATGCCAACATAACGGAGTTCTACATCTTCGATCATACAACGCTTCAAAAGGTGTCATCCCAATACTAGAATGGTAACTGTTATTATAAGTGAACTCTATCAACGGAAGATAAGTATCCCACGCACCTCCCTGCTCAAGAACACATGCCCTCAACAAGTCTTCCAACGATTGAATCGTCCGTTCAGTCTGACCGTCTGTCTGAGGATGATACGTTGAACTAAAACTTAACTTAGAACCCAGCGCTTCTTGCAAACTCTTCCAAAAATCAGAAGTAAATCTTGGATCTCTATATGACACAATGCATAAAGGAACACCATGCAGCTTCACAATTACACTAACGTAAATTTTAGCCAACTTCGACACGAAAAAACTGATGTTAATAGGAATAAAATGAGCTGACTTCGTAAGCCTATCAACAATCACCCAAATTGAATCATGTCCTCTTATCGTATTAGGAAATTGATCAGTGCATTTTGATGCACATTTTTCTATGATTATACTTATACATTTTTATGGTTTGTTTAGCTTATTTTTGTATTTTATAGTGTTTTTCTATTTTAGTTTATTTCTACTCTTATTTGATTTTCGCACTTTATTTTCAGCATTAGCAGTCTGCACAAATAAATTCATAACTTGAGCTACGGAAGTCGGAACGAGGCGTGCTACCAGTTGTTGGAAAGCTAAGAGAAATAACTACGATTTTCATTCAGAAGTCGAGAGCTGAATCGGACTGTAGCAGGGCCATAAAATTCGTTGAAGTTGCACCATTTTATATTTAAGTTTTGGGTCATTTGTTTTGGATCTGGGTTATGTTTTCGACCCAGTTGAGTTATGAACCGAATCCTTGTCTTTGCTATACCTAGCATCCGCTATAATAATTTAGTTTTGGGACCTTTTCATTATTCAGAAAAAATACATTTTGCTTTTACGCTTGAATGAAGAACTAATTATCCCGAGTTGATCTACTGTAATCGTATTCCGATGCTTTGAGGTTTTTAACTTATCAATTGAATTTCGTTTCTCTTTCAATTCTATTTTATGAAATTGTATTTGCTTAATTTGTTATTTCATGGAATGTCTTGATTAAATCCGTATGATTGTATTCCTAATCTTTAATCGTTGTTTACGTCGCTTAGTCGTTAAATCACGTTTTATATCGTGTTTGCTTAATTCACGATTGTATTAATCCGTTTGCTTAATTCGGAATGAGAATTCAATCTATTTTATATCTATTGCGCTTGTCAATTGGTATTGAAATCGA